ATTAAATTGGAACTTTAAGGATCATTTTGCCTTGGACTCTGATTTAATTCTACATGATACTTGGAACGCTGACACCCAACCAAATATGTTTTCTTTCTTCCAACTCTTGTTGGGAAGGCCTAATTCCCTATTGATTTGGACCTTTCAAAATATATTGTATTCCAAGGAATAAAATGCATATTTCTATATTGCCAATACTGTTTGTCTAGGAAGGAGATTGTAGAGGGTTTTTTTTTTAATTGACTTATACACTCACCCTCCTAGAAGATCTGCAGTATCACTCTGCTGGTTCATGTTGATAACTTTCAAACGGTGCCCTTAGAACAAAAAGGTACAGAAAATGATGAATTGGTTCCTGAGTAAACACTTCTATAGCATCTTGGCTACGGTCTCAGTACTGTACTTTACCTGTAATTTGGGCCAAGTACTGAACAGCAGAAGTTTTTCCTGTTCCCGTTTCACCCACAAGTAATAGAGGCTCTCCTTTGTCCACACATACTGCAAGCTGCTCAATCAACACTGAAGATGGGCGTGTGGGTGCAAAGCTTTGCTTTTTCCTGCCGAGATGAAAAGGCAGATTGTTACACCTTTGCACCACCAAGTCTTCTATTCATCAAGTCCCTAAACATACTTCACTCTCACATCACAGAAGCAAACACCCAATAATAAAAAACATAAATGCTGCCATGGGATTTTGCAATTAAGCACTCTGCCTTACACTACAAATACACAGGAGAAAAAAAATGAGGATCGCTATGTGTATGCATTGCTATGTTATAAATTTATCACTAATTTCTCTTTTTTGTATTTCTTTATTAGAAAGGAAGGATGAGTAATTTCTGGGACAGAGTCCAGAGCCATGCTTTTTAAAATTTCATTTGGCTCCTTGTGATGTAATGCAAGAGGGATAGAATTATGCCTGAGGGTTTATTGGCTTCTTTTGAACTCTTCCCTGGAAACTTCAAGAGAAATTGAATAAAGAGAAAACCCTGTTCTTGCCTATGAGGAGGGTATTCAAGAGGAAAGTAGCTCTAATGGGAAAGATCAAAAAGTTCTGCAATGCAAGCATATGGCTCTCCTTATCTGGGTTCAGAAGATATGAAAAAGCTGCCATGGGTAGTACCTGGATGAGATCCTCTCACTTAAGCTAAATTGGAAAGTTACAAAGAAAAATCCCAGAAAATATAACAGCAAGTCACTTTGTTATGGCTGCCAAGAAAGCAACATGGATGAGTCACATCGCTGGGAGTCAAGCTTGACTTCAGACCCACACAGGAGTTTTTTAAGAAGGGAAGCTATAGGCTACACAATTAATGTAACATGCAATCCGACAAGAGTTTTTAGAGGAACCTCTCCAAAACAATCAATACCGTTGCGTAAGTAGTGTGTGTGACTGCTTCTTAATGAGCTGAGTTCTTCCCACAGAGACTTCTTGTTCTCCTATTACAATTTCTGGTTTATGAAGTTGACAGTAGTATTCCACCTATGGAAAAGGAACATTCAGATCTACCTTTATTTATTGCACACCAATTCATATATAGTACTTTTGTGAGTAGTGAGCTGTTTCAGCCCACCGAAGTGACTTTGCTGCTCGGGAAGCATCTAACGAATGCATTTTTCAATTTCCCCAAAGCTTCAGATTATCAACCGCTTTTCCAATTAATTGCAAGGTGGATTCACTTAGTGGACTGAGCCATCCTGAGTTCATTTGATTTGAGCTTAAAAGTGATGTATGAATCGAGTTGTCACTGTTGGGGAGTTACTTGGAACAATTGTATATATTATGATTTAGCATGGAAAATAGCAATAGCAATAGCAATAGCAGTAGACTTATATAC